CCCCAAAATGCCGCCCCAAAATTCCCAAAAAATCCCCCCAAAATCCCCCCAAAATTCCCCCCAAAATTCAAAAAAAATTCAAAAAAAATCCCCCCAAAATCCCCCCAAAATTCTCTCAAAATTCCACCCAAAATCCCCCCAAAATCCCCCAAAATTCCCAAAAAATCCCCCCAAAATCCCCCAAAATTCCCCCAAAATTCCCAAAAAATTCCTCCAAAATTCCAAAAAAATCCCCCCAAAATCCCCCCAAAGTTCCCCCAGATTTTGGGGTCCCCCCGCGCGTTTTGGGGGTGTTTTTGGGTCTCACTTCAGGGGGTACATGCGCAGCGCCACGTCCATGCCGGGGCAGTAGGACAGGAACGCCGCCAGCGCCGTCTCCTCGAAAAGCCCGAAAATCAGGATTTTATTCCTGGAAAAAAACAGAAAAAAACCCAAAAATCCCTCAGAGACCCCAAAAAATGGGGAATTTTTAGTAATTCCTAAAAAACCAAAAAACCCTCCGGGAATTGGGGAATTCAGGGATTTTGTCGCGTCCTTAAAATCGGATTTTGGGGAGCTCTGTTGGGTCTCGGGGGAGATTCCCGGGATTTTTTTTTTTGGGGAGGTTTTTGGGGGATTTTGGGAAATTTATCCCTAAAATTCCCTCCCCGCCCCCCAAATCCGAAGGGGCTGATTTGGAGGGGGGGGGTGGGGGGGTGAGGGATCCCAGCGGGATTTTGGAGCCTCATTCCTCCCGGATTTTTGGGATTTTCCATGGGAATTTGGGGATTTTCCCTGGGAATTCTGGGATTTTTCCTGGGAATTCTGGGATTTTTCCTGGGGTTTTGGGGTGATTTAGGGGTGTTTTGGGGTGTTTTTGGGGTGTTTTTGGGGTGTTTTTGGGTGTTTTGGGGGTGTTTTGGGGTGTTTTTGGGGTGTTTTGGGGTGATTTTGGGTGATTTTGGGGTGTTTTGGGGTGTTTTTGGGGTGTTTCCCTCACTTCATGCCCTGCTGGAAGACGGAGTTGCGGCGGGTCTTGCAGATGATCAGATCCGCCCACTGCACCACCACGATGCTGACGAAGAACGCGGTGTGGCACGTGAACTCCACCACCTTGCGCTGCTCGTACGTCTGGGGAGGGGGCTGCCGCTCAGAGACCCCTCCCCAAATCATCCCCGGTCTCAAATCATCCCCCGGGATCAGAGACCCCTCCCCAAATCATCCCCGGGATCAGAGACCCCTCCCCAAATCATCCACAATTTTTTGGGCACCCCGGTTTTTTTTGGAGACCCCCGGTTTTTTGGGACCCCCATTTTTTTTGGAGACCCCCGGTTTTCTGGGGCCCCCCGTTTTTTTTGGGGACGCACCCACTGCTGGCCGTAGGAGTCCTCCAGGTCGTTGATGGTGCGGTCGTCCCAGCGCAGCCGGATCCCCACCAGGCAGGAGGGCAGGAAGCCGTTCTCCGCCAGGATCACGAAGTAGGCGAAGAACCCGCCCAGAGCCTGGATCATCCCTGCGGGAAAAACGGGGGGGTCGGCGGCCAATGGGAGCCAACCGGGGCCGATGGGAGCCAATCAGAGTCAAGGGGAGTCGATGGGAGCCAATCAGAGTCAAGGGGAGCAAAGGGGAGCCAATGGGGTCCCCCAGGACCCCCCACACCAATCTGACCGTGTGATGACCCTGAGTGACCCCTGAGTGACCCTGAGTGACCCGAGTGACCCGAGTGACCCCTGAGTGACCCCGAGTGACCACTGACCGATCTGGCCGTAGGCCATGCTGATGACCCCGAGTGACCCCTAAATGACCCCTGAGTGACCCCGAGTGACCACTGACCGATCTGGCCGTAAGCCATGCTGATGAGCCGCTCGTTGACCAGCTTGTCGGAGCGGGGGTTGCGTGGTTGCCGTTTCATGATGTCGCTCTCGGCCGCCTCGTAGGCCAGCGAGATGGCCGGGA